CATTTAGTATATTACTTAATTAAATAATTAGAAATTTAATTAATTATAGCATTACATTATAGATTTATAGTATAATTAATTAATTACTTAATTAATTATAACATTTCATTACAAACATTAGCACAATATTTAATTAAATAATTAAAATTTTAATTAATTATAATATTACATTAAAGATTTATAGTATGATTATTTAATTCACTATAACATTACATTATAGTATGATCACATTACATAATTATAACATTACATAATTAAATGATTATTTAATTGATTATGACATTATATTATAAACATTAGTAATTACTAATTTACTACATAAACATTAGTATAATAATTAATTAAATGATTATATATTCAATTAATTATAACATTACATTATGAATTTACAGTACGATTACTTAATTAATTGTAACATTAATTAAATGATTACTTAATTAATTATAACATTCTATTATAAACAAATTAATTATAATATTATATTAAAGATTTATAGTATGATTACTTAATTTATCGTACCATTTTATTATAGTATAATTAGATAATTAATTATAATATTACATAATTAAATGATTATTTAATTGATTATGACATTATATTATAAACATTAATTATAACATTACATTATAAATAAATGATTACTTAATTAAATGATTAGAAATTTAATTAGTTAAGCATTACATTATAGTTAAATAATTACTTAATTAAAATATAACATTATTACATTATATTATATTATGATCACTTAATTAATTATAGCATTAAATAGTTAAATGGTTACTGAATTAGTTATAAATTTATAACATTACATTATAAACATTAGTAACTTACTACATTATTACATTATTTAATTAAATGATTAAAAATTTAATTAATTATAATATTATATTAAATATTTATAGTATGATTACTTAATTCACTATAACATTACATTATAGTATGATCACATAATTAATTATAATATTACATAATTAAATAATTATTTAATTGATTATGACATTATATTATAAACATTAGTAATTGCTAATTTACTACATAAACATTAGCACAATACTTAATTAAAATATTAGAAATTTAATTAATTATAACATTATATTATAAATTTATAGTACGATTACTTAATTAATTGTAACATTACATTATAATTAAATGATTACTTAGTTAATTATAACATTCTATTATAAACAAATTAATTATAATATTATATTAAAAATTTATAATATGATTACTTAATTCATTATAGTATGATTACATAATTAATTATAACATTACATAATTACATGATTATTTAATTGATTACGACATTATATTATAAACATTAATTATAACATTACATTATAAACAAATGATTACTTAATTAAATAATTAGAAATTTAATTAATTATGCATTATATTATAGTTAAATAATTACTTAATTAAATTATAATATTATTACATTACATTATATTATGATTACTTAATTAATGTAATAGCCGCTTTCCACTCATATACTCATAAAAGATACATAATGAAAACACATGGAAAATAACATAAATAGTTGGGCCCAAAATTTTCTTTCATTAAACATATATATGTATATAGATATTCTTTACAAAAATTGTATCATGTACAAAAGTGATCAAACATGGTGGACAGTGTAGCCATTTTCCTTCGCTTGCCAACGCCCATCCGACCGTGTTCTCATCTAGATCCTATAAAACATAGGAAACAACAGGGTGAGCACTAAAACAATGCTCAATAAGTAAATCTTCTACTCATCTAACCCCGTAACTCTCTCTAATTCTTTTCTTACAATTCTCATTTACTCTTTCTCTTATACTTCTCTCTATTTTCTCTTTCTCATAACTCTTTCCTACTAACTCTCTTTAGTAAGTCATGATCTCATCTTACCGGAGGCACGGCCGGGACTCGCTCCCGCTCTCCATGACTTCTACTCGTTCTCAGCCGATTGGACTCGGTTATGCATGGATTCGGAACCCTTGGCCATGTGAGTGTATAATCTCTCTCTCGGGTACTCTCGGGTATAGCCTTCGTCCACATGCACTCTCACGGGCTACACCACTTCTCTCTCTCATACTCATGCTGCTCTCTCAATGCGACGGTCATGCGGGAATACTCTACCCATTACTCACGGGTTCCCCATCGCACAACCTACTCTATGCTCTTTTTTCTCTTTTATTCTCTAGTGCTCAATCTCTCTTTCTTTTTACTAAAGCTCACACTCAAAGTTCTCTACTCTTTTTCTACTCTTTCTCTAATGCATAATTAATACATATGGATGACTCATGCTTATTAATGCGCTAATGAAATGCAATTATGCCATTAGTAATAATTAAGGCTTTCTACTCTTACTCATGCTTCTCTTGAGCATTTCATCATACAACTCATATGCATATAACACTCTATATTAACGATAACTCTTCTCTTCTTTTGACCCTTCCCAATATGGGAGAAAACTCTTTCATAAACTCTAATTTCCTGTCAATGAAACAAACACTTCTATAGGGTTTACTCAAACTCCCTTCGACTTCAATAAAACTCAACTCAACACCATAAAATCTCAACACTTCTCATATTCCAATACATTCAACACTCATTAATAACTATAATCTCATCTCATCTCATCTCAATTTCTCAATGAACATAAGATATATACATACATACATAAATCTCCACTTGAGTTGGATTTACTTACCTTGTGAAAAAGTGACCTCTCTAGTACTTTTCATTTCCCTTGTTGTCTTGTCTTCTCTCTACAACAATTCAAAACAACAACAAGAACAATAACAACCATATAAGACTTCAATATAACTATAAGCAAACTCACATTCAAAGCAAGAATCATTACCTTAGGATGTTTTAGATTCAAACTCTACTACAATTACCCCAAAAGCTCCCTAAAACTCCTTAGAAATCTTGGAAAATTGAAAAGAAACTTGAGAGAATTTAGAGAATGGTTATGGCGGTGGAAATGAATGAAATGGAGGGTTTATTACACTTAACCCTTTTTTAGCTCATAAGATAACCATCACTTCCCAACTTTGCCCTTGCTCTTCCTTAGAAATTCCATCATATCCTTTGATTCATTTCACTCACACCCCCACACTAACCTATTTTCCATGAAATTTAATTACATTTTACTCCCTACTTTTCCTGCTAATTAGGGGTAGAATGGTCATTGTGCCCCAAAGGAAGAATTCTCTAGAAACTTAATACATATTTTATTAAGCCCTTCGCCGCGGTGAAGAATCTTTCTTCACCTCGGCAAAAAATTACAGAACCTACACCGTAGGTTGCAGGGCTTCATCGCCGCGGCGAAGCTTCTTCTTCGCCCCGACGAAGTCTTTAACACAAAACTTCGCCAAGTTTTATAAATTTCAGGGCAACCACTCAACCAACTCACAATATCCATTCAACCAAAGGCCAACTAAATATTATTACCAATAAACAAACTCAATTAAAGCTGAATCAATGAACATTTAAGCAATACAACAAATCTTAACTACGTACCTCAAGCGGGACGTTACAATTAATTATAGTATTACATAGTTAAATGATTACTTAATTAGTTATAAATTTATAACATTAAATTATAAACATTAGTAATTTACTACATTATTACATTACTTAATTAAATGATTAAAAATGTAATTAATTATAACATTACATTATAGACTTATAGTATGATTACTTAATCAATTATAACATTCCATTATAGATTTATAGTATGATTACTTAATCAATTATAATATTCTATTATGAACATTAGTATATTAATTAAATGATTACAAATTTAATTAATTACAATATTAAATTATAGATTTATAGTATGATTACTTAATTTATTATAATATTACATTATAGTATGATCACATAATTAATTATAATATTATATAATTAAATGATTACTTAATTGATTATGACATTATATTATAAACATTAGTAATTTACTACATAAACATTAGCACAATACTTAATTAAATGGTTAGAAATTTAATTAATTATAACATATTAACATTACATTATGAATTTATAGTACGATTACTTAATTAATCGTAACATTACATTATAAACAAATGATTACTTAATTAAATTATTAAATAATTAATTATAACATTATTACATTACATTATATTATGATCACTTAATTAATTATAGCATTACATAGTTAAATGATTACTTAATTAGTTATAAATTTATAACATTACATTATAAACATTATTAATTTATTGCATCAGTCATTAGTATATTACTTAATTAAATGGTTAAAAAATTTAATTAATTGTAACATTACATTATAAATTTATAGTATGATTACTTAATTAATTATAACATTACATTATAAACATTAGTACAATATTTAATTAAATAATTAGAAATTTAATTAATTATAACATTGTATTATACATATATAATATGATTACTTAATTAATTATAACATTCTATTATAATTAAATAATTAAATAATTACTTAATTAATTACAATATTATTATATTATATTATAAACATTAACAATTTATAATATTAAATTAACAATTTGCAGATGAATAATTGTTTGTGTCTTGGTTTTGATTGAGAAATTTTATGTGAATTGTGATGAATTGATTGAATTCAAGTGTTGCCTAGAGATTAGAAGATTTATGAGTTACATTGGACACAAATGAATGAGTAATCAAAATTTGTTAGGGGTGTATTTGTAAACTTTTAAGATATTTTTATCATTTTTTAAACTAATAGAGGGAAATTAAAATTTTTACAGGACACCCGGGAAAAGAACTGAAACCTATATTTTAGGTTTCGGTTCCATAAATTTAAGAACTTGTACTGTGCGATTCCTTTTTTTGGGAACTTATACTATGTGGTTCCAATCTAAAAAATACAAAGTATCCGGAACTGCTCAACCCTAGTAATTATTACTGTAAATAAACATTTTCATTTTTAATTAAAAACTTAAAACATAAAATAAAATAAAATCAATGCTTTCGTGTACCTTTGGAATTCCTTAGAGAGAGAAGAGAAGAAGGGTTGGTGTTGAGGAACCTTCCCATTTCCCCTTTAACCTTTCTGTTTCCGCGTCAACTCTCTCAATTTTCCCCATTTTCTCTCTTTATTCCTTTTGATCTGATTTTGATCTCGTCCTCATGGCCACCACCTGAAACAAAAACATCAATGCCAGATTGGTTAGCTTTTTGTAATTTTGACTTGTTTCATTTCTTTATTTTGGTTGATTCTCAGATGGGTCTGGGTCAATTGTTTGGAATTTTGTTTTGATGATTTGATTTGTGGTTTTTTAGGAGAATTTTGATGTGGGTTTGTTTTTATTTTTAAGAATTATGATCGGAATTATGCATGTTCTGATGTGGGTTTACTTTGTAAATTGGTATCAATTGTTTGTGCTTAATTTTGATGGAAAATTCTGATGTGGGTTTGCTTTGAAATTTAATTTTGATTCAGCAAAATTCATATAACAATTATGTTTATTCATTAATTGCTAATCATAGAGCTTATTTTATCATTTATCTTTTTAGTTTGTTTATGGCGATGGCGTTGTTATGAGTTTTCATGTTTAATTAAATGTTAACATGACTAATATTGAATGAGTTTTAGGGCAAGTTACATTTTGGCTTTGTTTCATTTGCAAAATAATTCATGTGCGTTTGCTTCGAAAAGTAGTATTGCTTCTTTGTGCTGAATTATGATGTATAATTGTGACGTGGTCTTGATTTGGAATTGTGTTTCATTCATTAGTTGTTGGTGCTAGTGTTGTTTAGAACTTTGATGTTTAATTGTATGTTTGATTACCATGTTTTGATGTATTCTTTGTATTTATTTTTCTGAAATTTGGTTTTGATTGATGTTTGTTTGTGCTTTATGCTTTAGGTGTTGCTTGGAGATGTTGGAGCTGGGAAATCTTGTCTTGTGTTGTGCTTTGTTATGTTGAATTTCATGTATTTTGGACGAATTATAATTGCTAGTGAACCTTCCCCATTTGGTTTCAAGAGCTTAATTTTTTTATATAATGTTTGTAGGAATCGACTATAGGTGCTACCTTTTTCTCACAAGGATTGGCTGTAAATGACGCCACTGTAAAGTTTGAGATTTGGGATACAGCAGATCAAGAGAGGTACCATAGCTTGACACCAATGTACTACGGAGGAGCTACTGCGGCCATTGTTGTCTATGATATAACAAATCAGGCAAGTGTGTGCCAATGAATTTATTTCCCATTAGGATATGGAATCTTCGAAAAGCTCATTCTTTAAAAATTTAAGGTGTAAGACCTATAGAAAAGAGCTTTGTAATCCTTGAGACTTGAGAAGTTGAGTCTCAGGGATTAAGCCTCTTACCTCCAATCTAACTTGGTTAAAAGGAACTAGATAGGAGAGATGAAATACAGAGCATGCTTCTATTGGGGGTTACCTTCTCTGTTGACATCTACATGTGACATGATAGAGCATGTTACATATTGGATCTTGATTACCTATTCAAAGTCTTTTATGGAGTGTCAATTCTCACTGTTGCCTTTTTTTGTTTTGCCTTAAAGAGGGGGCCACCGAATGGGGCGTCGCCAAGTCTAAAGAAATCCGTATGCCCTTCAAACGCCTTCCCTTCTATTGCTGTGCGTACGCGTTACTTACACACTTGCTGTCCCTTTATCTATGTATTTGCACATAAGAACATATGTTTGTGGTTGATGATATTTTTTGATGCAGCTTATGGCAGCGTATTCGATATAATGTGAGAGTTCTTATTTTTATAATTTTAGATTAATTTGAGTATTTTAGGTTTTAAGTTTGGATTTTTGTGCACTTGCAGGACTATAACTCCCTATATTAGAAAGTATGGAAACATCCTGTTACTGGAGCCCACTAAAGCTGGCGATTTAATTGCAGTTACTTTCACAAGAATGCTGAAGGTTGGATTCTTTTACTCCATTTTAACTGTTAGTTCAATTTTGCTGTGTAGAATTGCTTTTTTTTTTTTTTTTTTTTTCTAAAGCTTTAGAGATGCATGCTACTTGATGGCCGAGGTTTCGAGGAAATGGGTGATAATTTAGACATGAAGGATTATGGTCTGATTCAAGTTAAATTTATGAGTGCAATTCAAGAATTTTAATAGATAAGTCTTAGTATTGTTGATGCTGCATCGGCTTCAGTTCATGGAGAAGTGCTGCATCCAGTGAAAAAAACAGCTGCTCGGATAGCCATGCACTTGGCTGGTGACAGGGCACCTGTGATGCAAAGCTGGTTAGTAGAGGTCTCTCTTTTTTTTTTTTTTTTTTTTTTTCAGAATTTGAGTTCTCCTGTCAATCTGTTTCTTATTAAAAATAAACAAAGGTGCTATTAGACAGAAACTGTAGAATAAAGGTCCAAATAATGATAAATCTGAAATTCAAAGATGAAGTAAACTCCACTCTGGGGCTGTTGTTAGTATGGCAAATAGTGGTTCCCAGTTTTTCATTTTGTATAAATCTACAAATCATTTAAACTTCAAACTACTGTTTTTGGAGGAGTTGGCGGTTTGATTGCATTGGCAGCGATGGAGAAGGTTCCTGTTGAGGCCAATGATTGACCTCTGGTGAGTTCTTTGTTTAGCATTAATCTCTCCAAAACTACATATATTTTAAACCTGTATCTAATTTTTGCTGCTTTCTGTTTTACAATTAAATGGTATTCCCTGACTAATGATAGATGTAGTGTGTATTTAGCATATGATCTTTATGGGAAGCAAGGCCTTCTGTTTATATTAGTACTCTATGCCTTTCGAATTTTGGTGAATGCTGTGTTAGGAATCATTATACTATTTGGTAACATATGTTATCTGGAAGGTTGAGCCTCAAAACTGGCTTCAACTTAACTTAAAAGCTGCATATCTAGAAATACAAAGTTCATGATTTTTATGAAGATACTTTAGTATGTTCTGATCAAATTAGTTGCTGGACAATGCCTTAATCATAAAATTAGTTGACTTAAATTAAATTATTGAATCCTGCCCTCATTATATGTTGTTTTCCTCTCATTTGTTTAGAGGAGATTAAGACAACAAGCGTAATGGTGTTTGCCAATCCTTACTTAGAACTAGATGAAGAAGAGGAAGAGAAGGCCAAAGAAGAGAAAAGTGCTCAGGATGAAGGAAGTTCGTTTCAGGACTGTTTTAAATATCAACTGCCTTTAGAAATTATTATTATTGAGATGGCAGGAAATATTTGTTACGCCTATATTATTTTGACAATAAAAAATTTGTCATATAAAAAAATTTTTATAAAAAATTATTTGTCATGTTATTAAATATTTTACAAAATTATATCCCTTACTATACAATTTTTTACAAATAATCAATGTTTAAAAACCAAACTTCCGATCCGATCGGTTTAACCGGTTCAATCAGGAATCAACCTTTAAGTCAGGCCGAGTCACCATAAAAACTGTGGATATGCATTTACTCGTGGTTGGACTCGGGTTACTGTAGCATCTTGTCGGTCCAACTGGTTTTGTGCCAAAATCGGGTTATTGCATTTCCTACCTGATAAATTGTAAAACCCAATGTTTTAAAACTCGACTCGGTTTGGCCCGATCGGTTTAACTGGTTTAACCGGGACCTAGAAGCTTCAATGGACTAGGTTTATATTTTTCCTATTCATCCAAAACCTTAGGATTTGGGAGGATGATCGGTGAACAATTAATGACTGGGATGTTGGGGCTTTTCAAGAGAAAGTGCTGGTGAATGCAATAGTGGTGACAGAGTTGATTTTCAGTGAGTAAATCAACCGGAAATCGAACAAAACTGGCAGTAGCAATAACCAGCTTTTTCCGGCGATTGTTAAGGCTAACGGGGGTGGGGTGAGGTGGGTTTTGGTCCGGAGGAAGAGGGGAGTAATTTCTGGGTAATGGGAACGGTTATCGACACTAGCGTCAATGAGATCTAGCCAAGAATGCCAACGCCGGTGTCGGTGAGATCTGGTCGAAATAGGTTGGGTATATTATAAGGGGAATGGGCTCAAGGGACGATAAGGGTTGCATCTTGGGTGTCACCGCCGCCAACCAGTCACCTGTCGATTTGTATTTGGGGGCGTGTTTGCTAAATTTCAAACCTACAGGGACTTAACCAATTTTTAGGGGTGTATTTGCTGAATTTTATAAGTTTTTGTCAATCGGTTTGATTGTCGGTCAAACAGGTTAAACCGATTAACATGGGACTGGACAACTTTGCCGGGTTTCACCTCGGTTTGGGTTCTAAAACATTGGTAAAACCCTTTTCATTTTTTCAATTTTGCAATCAACTTCTACAATCAAAACTTCGGCCACCTTGTGTGCCAAAATTGTCCACCACTGACCGTGATAAACATACAAAGTTTAATCCTTTGCAAGTGCACGAGTCACAATCGCAGTATAGTGCATGAGTAAGGGTTGATCACACAGAGACTGGAAGTGCTCTCGAGATCCTAGAAACCAAATCTTGATGAAAGCAACAAAAATTGAAATAAAGAAAACATAAAAACGACATTAAAGTAAATCTAAATCTAAATATATACAAAGAATCCTATGGCTCTAACTCCATCATAATCACTAGGTTATGTGTTCTTAGAGGCAGTCTTATGTGCAACTTCCATAAAGAAAACAAATTTTTGATCCCATAAATATGAAAACTTTAAAAACACAAACTCCATAAGCCTACATTTTAGATCACTATCTACCAATATAAAACAAACGCACAACTTCAGATCATTAGGACTTCATTAAGCTTGAAACGTAAGACTAAGGTATTGGATTAAGAAATAACGTAAGGGATTCAAGAAACTAAGAGGGAATAATCTTACAATTCAAAAAACTCAATCACTTAAAACAACTTACTCTCTCAAACTCGAAACCCTTTATTTTTTTTCTTTTTATTGCATTACTCTTCCTAACCACAATTGAATTTGTACCATTTTCATGCTTCCTTATTGTTTTTCTTTGTTTTTTATTTTAGTTTTTTTGAAATAATAATAAAAATACATAACTTAGGAAGCAATGATATCACCCAATTCCTTTTTTTTTTTTTTTTTTTTTTTTCACACAACCCCCAACTAGTTTCTTCACACATTTTCACAAGATTTTATAATAAAGCTCAAAACCTCACACATTTCACTTTCATCAATTTAGATTAAATCCTCTTAAAAGAATATCAAAGGTAGGAAATGTGTTTAAGGGTTAAAACGAGTAGGTTATTGTGGGTTAAAAGAAAGAAAATCAAGGCTAAATATATGCAATAAGACTCAACGGGGTGACCAAGGATAATAACATATAAGGTTGGCTTGAAAAGTTCTAACGGTCCAAAGATGGCCTAAGTCATTTCTTTAATCATGCGCCATCTAGGATTTCGCCTCAAATTGGTCATCTAATAGGTTTTAAAATTTTAGGAACCTCACAAAAATCGTAGGAAGATTACACACAAAACATCCTTAAATGCTAGAATCAACCAACCAAATAGACCACATACCCGAGAGTTTCAAACTACAACAAAACCAACATTTAGAATAATTCTTCGACTAAGGTAAAAACTGACCTCTCCTATTCACTACATGTCATGCAATCATGTTATCTCATAGACAATTGACGTAACCCAGGAAACATAAAGATTCCACAAACTCACAAAAAATTTACAGGCATGCATAAACATGAATTCATAAACATAAATTTCATACTTTCCCACCCCCACGAAATTCCTACATTGTCTCTAATGTAGTCATCAACGCAAAGTAGAGGTGGAAAGGGAAAGAAACTAGTTACCTCCCTTGATTAACAGATCATAAAGCACCGAAAGTAACTCAATCAAATGTGCATCCTGTAATCAACATGAAATCGACCTGCACAAAAGAAAGAATACATGGTGTCTTGGAATAAAATTCATGTTGTCGGTTAGTCATCAAAAAGTTTGCGGAAATTAAAACAAACACACAAATAAGAAAAAATGAAATCAACATAAAAGTTTATAAAATTTAAACATTTGAAAACAAAATAAAATAAAATAAAACAACACACAAAATAAAATATTGAAAATGAAATAAAACATACTATAAAGAAGCCAAACATCAACATGCATAAAACAAAAATTAAACAAACAAAAACAGCAAAAATTAAACACACAAGAGCAACATAAATCGAGACTAAGTCACCAGAAATCACAAAGCAACTTAACAATCCCCGGAAATGGCGCCAAAAACTTGACAGACATACAAAGTTTAATCCTTCGCAAGTGCACGAGTAAGGGTCGATCCCACAGAGACTAAAAGTGCTCTCGTGATCCTGGAAACTAAGCCTTATGAAAGCAACTAGAATTGAAATAAAGAAAACATAAAAAGGACATTAAAGTAAATCTAAATCTAACTATATACAAAGAATCCTAGGGCTCTAACTCCATCATAATCACCAGACTACGTGTTGATTATCAAACTATAGTTTTCTCCACTCTATTCTAGGGTTCGTACATCATCGTGTTCAACCTAGTACTTTCATCATCTAAACTAGCTAGTGGCGTATAGCCTAGTCTAAATTACGAAGGAACCAATTCGCAAAGAAACAAATCATCCATTCACAAAGTTAATCAAGATAGGCATGACGTCTCTCATTTCTAAGGTATTACCGCAACCATACGGAATAACCTAGTGTTTCCATCAACTAAACTAGCTAGTGGTGTATAGCTTAATCTAGTAACGAAAACCCATTAATTGCAAGACGATCTTAAAGACAGTAACCAATCTATACCCAGGCATGGCTACAAATTAGTCATTCCACACCCAATCTTGTCTCACACAATCAATTAACTAACATCAAGGTTGATCAGGCTCTAATATCAACTAAAGATTGAATTAAATGCAATGCATGAATCCAGAACATAATGGAATAGAATCAAACAAATAAAACAACAATAAAACACAAGCCTTCAATTAGATTAAATCAAATCCCTATAAAACAAACTACAACATAAAGGGAAAGAAACAACACCACTTGGAACCATAATCATGAAGAACAAAAGAGGAGGAGAGGAAGAGAACCTTCTTCTCCTCTCCAAGCTCCACCTTTCCATGAAGCCCCAAATGTGTTCTCTCCAAAATGTGTATATCAAACCTAAAAACTCCTTAAAAACGGACTAAAGCTGCCTTTATATAGTTTTTAGACAAAATGACAAACTTGTAAATACTGGTAACTGAAATTAGGGTTGAAAATGCGACATTTTTACATTCTACACGATTTTTGCCCCAACGTAGTTTAGTTGCGCCACGACGCAGTTTAATTGAGCCCCAGCATGTTTCAGGCGATTTCTTCTTCGACAAAAACTGTACCATGTCATGGCTCAAGAAATCGTGTTGCGACGCAAAGTCGAAATTTCACTTTTTTTTTTTTCTTCTCAACTTGATTTATCATCACTTGATGGGTCCAAGATGTCTGAACACTAGCACAAGCATGAATAATCCATTCTTTTGCACCTGAATACCTGAAAACACACACAACACCCGTGATTTTGGAAGATAACGAAACATGCAAGAAATTACATCATAAATTATGTATTAAACCTTAAATTTCTTACAGTTTCACCCCCAAATCACTAAATAAATCTGCATTTTCAACACTCAACAGACCGCACTACAATTGCCGTTCGTCGAGGTTTATGGTTGATTTCATCTTGATTCACTTCATCTCTGTTCTCACCATGTGTTCATTGTGTTGTCGATTTCAAAAACTTCTATTGTATTGCTGTTGAAGCCATGTTGATTATGAGAAGTGAGAACGTGAATACACCATATTCTGAAAACTTGACTATAGTTGTTATGGGTATGAGGAGGATTGATAGGGTTTTGCATTGGATTTTGATTATGATTATGATTGAGATTTTTGATGATAATGACTAATTAGAATCATGGATTGGTGATGTTTGTTTGATAATTGAAATGTGGATAGAGGAGAGAAGAGTTTGTGATCGGATATGAGACTATGAGAGATGTGTTTGCAATGAAGAAATGGATGGTTGTGATTTGCCGAGAAAAGAGGAAGAAAAGAAGGAACTAATAAGGTTTTGAATTGAATTTTACAATTCTTTATTGCAAAATACTAACATGGGTGGACAACCGAATCAGACAAAATCAGTTCAGTATAAGCAAGAAGTCTTCGAAATTTTATATAATGCAAAAGCTAAGTTACCATTAAGGGTGCGTTTGGTTCAGGGAACGTTATATTACTGAGGAATGTTGTATTACTAGAAAGATAGATTAATAGGGAGTCTTTAGATAAATGTCTTTGATGGATTG